CTTTCTTTCTTTCTTTCTTTCTTTTTTTTTTTCTTTCTCTCTCTTTAACTTAAAAAAAAAAGATTTATTCATTTATTTTTAAAGCGGTGGGGAGGTGCAGAGGGAGAGGCGGGGAGAATCTCAAGCAGAGTCCCTGCTCAGCATGGAGCCGACACGGGGCTTGATCTCATCACCCTGAGATCATGACCTGAGCTGAAATCAAGAGTCTGACACTTAACCAAATGAGCCACCCAGGTGCCCCTAGTCTCACTTTCAATAGCAAACATGACACATGGCAAACTAGATTGATATCTGCAGTCCTCATTAGGGGCTGTTAGATCACCCAGGGTAATTTTTTAATTGTGTAGTAGATGTTTCTGGCTGTTTCCCCATGCACATCCTACTTCTCTCCCATTATGAAGCAGCCAAGCATTTTGGGTGGGACCAATCTGACCCCCAGCTCCAACGGCAGGTCTTGGTTGGCCCAAGCCGATCAGTGGAACCCCATTCCGCCTGCCAGTGATAGGTTTAGTGAGCACATGGCATAAGTGGACACAATTAGAATAAAGCCTTAATTTTAGTAGGAGGCTTGGAGAAAGAAACTGTTCTCTCTCTCTTTTTTTTAAAGATTTTATTTATTTATTTGAGAGAGAGAGAATGAGAGATAGAGAGCATGAGAGGGAAGAGGGTCAGAGGAAGAAGCAGACTCCCTGCTGAGCAGGGAGCCCGACGCGGGACTCGATCCTGGGACTCCAGGATCATGACCTGAGCCGAAGGCAGTCGCTTAACCAACTGAGCCACCCAGGCGCCCCAGAAACTGTTTTCTTAATAAAGTGGGCTTCAGGATGTGAGGCCTCAGACTGCTTCAGTCTTGCTCAGCTGACACACGGAATCATGGAAAAATGGAGAAGTTCTGATCAGACCATGCCTGAAGCATCTGGACTTTACTGTTGGTCCACTGTGAGTAGTTCTTTCTATTTTTGGAGCTGAAAACATCCTCACTGACACCACTCATGTTTACTCTTGTGTTCACAAGGCTAGGTGGTAAATGGGATAAAAGAAACACTCTTAGGAGCTATTAATACCTGTAAAGACATTAGCCATTAGTCAGTTTACAGCAGCAGAAGTAATGTAGATGTAACTTAAAATTGGTTGACTTTTTAAATACTTTTTTTATGTGAGAAAGTGCAAGAGAAAGCACGAGCTGGGAGGAGAGGGAGAAGCAGGCTCCCTGCTGAGCAGGGAGCCTGACAGGCAGCAGGGAGCCTGACATGGGGCTCGATCCCAGGACCCCGGGATCATGATCTGAGCCAAAGGCAGACACCTAATGACCTGAGCCACCCATGCCCTCCTACATTTGAAGATGATTCTGGATTCAGTGTTAGAAGCAGGCTGTTGGAACCTCTCTTCTAAAGAGTCCCACCTTCCTGTGGCCCACTGCACCTCAGCATGCCAGTTTCCATCGCTTCTCAAATGTCCTGGGCCATACAAACTGGGCTTCATGACCAGAGTATCATCCATTTTTCGCAGACTTTCACTGCTATTGTTTAAATAAAAGGAATGCTCTAAATATGTGTATGTGTAATGTTTATGAAAATGACTTTCACATTCAAAGTTGCTTTTGATTCTTTCATAATATGACCTACAATTCATTTGTTTCTGCTCACTGGGAACTTTGCAAAGGTTTTCCAAACTGATTGTCCCACAGCCTTGGAGGGCTGTCAGAATGAACTTTCTAAGATGCGAATCTGGTCACGATGCTCCCTTGCTTAAGGCTTTCAGGGGTTCTCCACTGAGAGAAGAAAGCTCACAGAACTGAGGCTGACTCTCCTGGCTAATCACTGGTCACCGGGCAGGTCCCACCAACCACTCGAGCTTTGCCTGATGCCCCCGCCCCACCTGAACCTGCTGCTCCACAAACAACCTCTTCACACCTCCATTTCTCCACTCATGCTGTTCCCTGCACTGGGAAAGCCCTTTTCTTTTTTTTTTTTTTTTTTTTTTTTTAAGATTTTATTTATTTTTCAACAGAGAGAAAGAGACAGCGAGAGAGGGAACACAAGCAGGGGTAGTGGGAGAGGGAGAAGCAGGCTTCCCGCCGAGCAGGGAGCCCGATGTGGGGCTCGATCCCAGGACCCTGGGATCATGACCTGAGCCGAAGGCAGACGCCTAACGACTGAGCCACCCAGGCGCCCGGAAAGCCCTTTTCTTAAAATCTTACTTTAAAAAACTGGCGGGGGGGGGACTGGGTGACTCAAGTCAGTTCAGCATCTGCCTTCAGCTCAGGTCATCAACTCAGGGTCCTGGGATCAAGCCCCGCATCGGGCTCCCTGCTCAGTGGGGAGCCTGCTTCTCCCTCTGCCCACCGCTCCCCCTGCTTGTGCTCTGCCTCTCCCTCTCTCTCAAAATCTTGTTTAAAAAAGCCCTTTCCTTCAACTGTCTTAATAACCACCTCCATCTGTCTTGATCAGCTAAACCATCATCCCCTCTGACCAGCTTTTCCCCAATCCTCTCCTTTCCCCCACAGTCCTCTCAAGTAGAGGTATGCCTGCTTCACATCCCAACAGCGTCCTGAAGCCACTTTCCCCAGGAAAGGGGGTGCATGGTGAGTCTGCGTTTCCTTCTCCCCCGCACAATGCCTGGCACGGAATATTAAATGATTGTGAAACAGCAATGTAAAGTGGGCTCTCCCAGCTCGGGCTTGGAAGAGTGTGTTCATTACGTGATGATGGTTCATTGTGGTGATGGTTTCACAGGTACCTCCAAACTTGTCCAGTTGTACACTTCATATACGTATGTACATATGTACGTATGCTTATTTTATGTCAGTTATATCTCAACAAAGCTATTTTTGTAAGTGGGGGGTGGACTCTTACACAGGGGCCTCTCCGACCTTGACGGAGGCATCCTCTGATCATAGCCCTTAGACAGGACAAGAACATGTACGTGTTATTCTGCTGGTCTCTACACTGGACTGAAGGTCCTCTAAGGTCAGCACTGGGGGAAATGAGCTGGAGACGGGACGCTGCCCTGCTGAGAAGTTTTAAATCTTCTCAGCTGTATGTTGAAGTCACCTGAGAAGATTTAAAACTCACAGATGCCTGGATCCCAGAGCACTCCATCGGTCTAAGGCAGCCTGAGCATCGGGATTGCTTAAGCCCCCCGGGTGACTAGAATGTGCAGCAGATTTTGAGAATCACTGTTTTAGATCAGTGAGTGGTTTGGCTCCTCACAGCCAACACCCAGATCACATCATTTCCCACTCCTTCCCCTGAAAGTCTAGAAACCAGGAGTCTGTTGTGCACAAGAAGCTTCAGTGGGTTCTGAGGCTCCTCTGGAGAAGGAGGACAGACACCAAAAACGGTTTGAGACTCAAATCTCTGGGCCAGGTTTGCCCCCGAACCAAAGTCCCCCTAACCCTTCCTAGCAGCAGGGCAAATTCCAGGGCCAGTAGGTGGCACTGTATCCTTTGACTTGCAGAAAACCCAACATCTGGTGGGGCAGCTCTTTCAAAAGCCTCCTTTGACACCGTTAATTTTGAATGTACTAATTCTGAATAATTTCCCCTCGACTTTTTCCTGGTCTCTTCAGTGCTTGCTCTTGTGCCAGGGGAACATGAATGTTAGCTGACTCTTGTAATATATGCTCCATTTTTACTGGGTCATTAGAAATCATACATGGTTCCCTTTATTGGCTCTAAAACACCTGAGTATTGAAGTAGCGTTAATATCATATTATGGTACATAAAATTTGATACAACTATTCAGATAATCAATGTTTTCTTTCTTTCTTTCTCTTTTTTTTTTTTTTTTTTTTAAGGCGGGGGAGAGGGAGAGGGAGAAAGAGAATCTTAAGCAGGCTCCAGGCCCTTCTCTGAGGCTGACCCTGGGCTCTGTCTCACAACACTGGGATTGTGACCTGGGCCGAAATCAAAGAGTTGAACACTTAACTGACTGAGCCACTTAGGTGCCCCATCAATGTTTTACTTCATGGTGATTTTCCAAAATAAAAAAAGGAATCCATTTTCATTGAAAAATTCTTTAGTTAAGATAAAAATCAAAATGCCACCAGTGGAAGGTCTCTTTCATCAGCTTTCATGAGGTGAGCAGGTCTGGCTGGGTTTTTTATTTTTTTCATTTTTAAAATTTAAATTCAATTAATTAACATATAATGTATTATTGGTTTCAGAGGTAGAGGTCAGTGATTCATCAGTCTTATATAACAACCCAGTGCTCATTACATCACGTGCCCTCCTTAATGTCCATTACCTGGTTACCCCATCCCCCCAACCCCCTCCCCTCCGCAACCCTCAGTTTGTTTCCAGTGATTAAGAGATCTTGTTTTTCTCCCTCTCTGGTTTTGTCTTATTTTTTCCTCTCTTCCCCTATGATTTTCTGTTTTGTTTCTTTAATTCCACATATCCGTGAGATCATATGATAATTGTCTTTTCTCAGATTAACTTATTTCGCTTAGCATAATACCCTCTAGTTCCATCCACATCATTGCAAATGGCAAGATTTCATTTTTTGATGTCTAAGTAATATTCCATTGTGTATACATACCACATCTTCTTTATCCATTCATCTGTTGATGGACATCTGGGCTCTTTCCATAGTTTGGCTATTGTGGACATTGCTGCTATAAACATTGGGGTGCAGGTGTCCCTTCGGATAACTACATTTGTATCTTGGGGTAAATACCCAGTAATGCAATTGCTGGGTCATAGGGTGGCTCTATTTTTAACATCTTGAGGAACCTCCATACTGTTTTCCAGAGTGGCTGCACCAGCTTGCTTTCCCACCAACAGTGTAGGAGGGCTCCCCTTTCTCTGCATCCTCGCCA